TTCAGAATTTTTCTATTAAGGTTGATGGTGGCGAGTTCTAACGTGTCTTTCACCAAAAAAAAAAAAAGAAAAAGAAAGCTACTCTTGTTCCTTGAACAATCAAGTGTCAGTGGAGAATTGCGAAGATCGGCCTGAGATACAAATAATGAATATTTTTAGCAAAAATTTCTTAAAAAGAAAGAGTTGGAAAGCATGTTTGTTGTTATTGCTGTCAACAACTGGTGAGATTCCTCTCAAATTTTAAAACTTAAAAAGTAGATTTGAATATGAACTCCGGAAATCTGCTTCAGTGCTCATACCATTCGCACAATTCCTTGCAGTCTTGTATTGGGAATATCTCCTCATTAAAAAAAATATACGAGTATGGAGATATTTCCAATACACGGTGTAAAAGGCTGTGCGAATGGTGTGAATAAGGTCTTCTAAACACTGAAGCCAATTTCTGAACTCTGGCCTCATCTCAACTGTGTGATATGATATGTCTGCGTCTGGGTGGATGCGTTTGAGAAGGCTGAGGGAAGGGAGATACCACTGCTAAAATGATTGACCTAACAATGGCAATGAGGTGGCCACAGCTCAAAAGAGTTACACAGGACCGCTGTGAATCAGCTCTTCTGTCAAGGTTCAGCCCATTAACCACCACCACTTGGCTGGGCCCCCATCTCCATCAGTAAGAACTTCCCGTCCAACCATTTCAAAAGGGTGATATATGCTGGTGTACGTCATTGGAGCACTAAAAACTTGGACCACTGGAGAGGACCCACCCATTCCAAGAACAAATCATGACTCCATGTTGACAGGGAGGAAGGGATGTGGATCGTGGTTCTTGGACCACCCAATTTTGGCAAAAGGTGATACATACGATTTAACTGGACATACATGTATCTGATTATGGCTCTGTTTGGGAAGAGTGTAACTAAAAGTGTAAATACAAATATTTAGAATATATTTTGGAGTTGGGATTTACTCACTCACACTAACCTTATAGCATGTTGCAGTCATGTATTGAGAATATCTCCCATAAATGATAATATACAAATACGGGAAATATTCTCAATATACGGTTGCAAATGATGTGAGGTTGGTGTGAAGCATATCTGATCTCTGTACTCAAGTCTATGCAAGTGGAAAATTGGTATAGTTTTGCATTGAAAAATTTACTCTCAAGTCTCGATTGCTTTTGTTTGAGGTGTAAACTCCAGACCGATTTGCTCGTGTATGGGAATGCTGTTATACATAACAAATTGAAGTAAAATTCTATTCAATAAAGTTTTTACATTAATAATTGATGTAATGTTAACATTGGTTTTTTCGATGAAATACTTTCCTCTCTTCTATGAAGGTAAATATTTGTATTATCGCTGACTCCAAGGCCGTCTTGGCTGATTCTATTATTATGTTTGGTTTGAAAGAAAATGCATAGAAAGAAAGGGAAAAGTAGAGAAACCTTTACAAACCTTGTATAGATTTTCTTGTCTTTTCCTACCTTTTCCTTCAAACCAAACATAGCCTGAAGTTTCCTGGATTTTGTGATGGAGAAGAATGGTTTTGAAATTTTGGGGTATTAGCTTGGATTAGTTAAAAATTGTTGTATATCAACCAAACAGTCATTACATCTGTATTCTTTTACTTCTGTTATATATCAACCAAACACATGAAAAAATGCATCATCCATTTATCTCATTGTAACCGAATAGGATGAGTGTAAATGAACACAAGGATCCTATCCCCATTTTACACTCTCTTAAATCGGATGTAACATAATTTCATGGTGTAAAAGTGTATTTATATCAATAAAACTGAATCAAAATGCATATATACACCAAATCGATATTTGTACTCTTTTCAAACAGAAACTTAAACTGTGTTTGGTTGTAATGCAAATAAATTTACACTGATACAAAATCATGGCAGTACAAATGATTTGAGTGTAAATTCTGACCTATTTTTGTTTTAAATTTTAGCTTATTTTGTTTGAATGGGACACAAATGAAGTAGATTAAGACAAGAAGTAGAATAAAAGTAAAATCCAAAACAAAGTTAAACAAGAATTTGTATTTTTTACCTTTGCACTCTCATGCATTTATACTAAAGCAAATAAATTTGAACTACAACCAAACACAGCCTTAAGAACAAAAACAATACGAGAGAGATGGTTTACTTTTGTTATTGGATAAGAAGAGAAACAAAAGGAAGAAAACAGGCAACAGGATGTCTGTACTCTTTTAATTTGTCCCATTCTAACGAGTATATTTTATTGCAGGAGAAACGTGAGCCATTGCCATTCCGGCCCTATCAACGGAGCTTACCAGTTACCACTTACCACATATATTGTTGGGCCCGCGGCCCGCCAAGGCTTTGTAACGCAAATTTCATGGGTCCACTTGCAACTTGCATGCCCATTATTGTTTATCAATTCATGATAATAGTATGTATATACTTTCATAGCGAAAAAATTAAAAAACTGAAAGGAAGTAGTTGAACTCGGGAGGAAAAGGAAAAAAGATGTGAGGATTGGTCGTTGTTATTGATGATTCTCATTTAAATCTGAAACTAAAAAGAAAATAAAAAGGCAGAGTCAAGGAAGAAGAGGATCTCTCCCTGTTCTGTTTCATATCAAAAGGATTCTTGTCGTTGGTGACAACTGACAAATCCAAGTTGTTAATCTTTATTCTTTAGTTAATTACTTGATAATAATAATAATAATAATAATAATAATAATAATAATTTATTATAAGAAAAAAAAAGAGAAGAAGTCGTTTAAGAAGTTAAGAGGTAGGAGCAGCCCAATCTTCCAGTTTCTTCCACTGAAAGAAAATAGGAGGCATTAATTCAACCATCTAAACCTCCTTGTTACATGATTTTTTATTTTTGTTTGCGTGAATGAAAATTGAAAAGTCAATCTTAACCTTACCTGACCTCCCCCGAGCTGAGCTGCTGCTGTTACCAATTTACTAAGAGCCCGTTTGGGAGGAATTTATGTTGATTGAATCGCTTCAAAGAAAAACTTGACATAGTTTCATCAAAAAATTAATTTCGTAGCTCATCACTTGTTTGGGTGATGGTTGAACTGGTTAAGGATCATGGCAATTTTTATGGACATTTTCTCTCTCTTTAGCTACATTGGCATCATGTGTAACGGAAGAGCACGACTAAAAATGGGTATCTTATACGAATAGAGTGAATTCTGCCGGGGAAAAAGAAATCCCCGAAGACCTTGATAGACAATTTCATCCCGACAACCCTAGAAACCCTATCCATGTAGCATACGGACACCTAATTATAAATAGGTATTTCTCGCTCGAGGTAAGGGACTTTCAAAATAACACTCTTTGAATATTTTTCTGCACTACTTGTTTGACTCGAACTAACATTATTTTAACCTGTTCGACCCAACCACCTCTTTCTCCACCCAACTTACTTGAACATCAAAATACCTACCTGAGAAATAACTCCTTAGACCTATAACCTTTCTTCTAGTTGTAGATCTTGATGCACGGCTTCATCCTTTTACCTCGGTTTCATCCAGTTGATAGAACTATCTGATCATGTCATCGATTCAAAATACTTTAAATCGAACAACATCATGACTCAAGTACTAATTTTCGACTTTTCAGTTTTTATAATTTTTTATCAAATACAAGTTTCATGGCTTACCGAATGATGATTTTGCAGTTCATGTAACATTGCAAATTTGCAACGTTAGAAGCCGTATGCGTAAAAGTCTTCCCAAACGGACGCTTACTGCTCTCTCTTTCTCTCTCTCCTCTCCTTTCAGTTCATGGAACTCTGCTCTTCCTTTTCATCATTAGAAAAGGTCGGTTTCAGTCAGTGCAAGGCCAACGTAGACGACCTTGAATCTTCTTAGACATAGCAGCCCCACAGTGGGAACAAAATTCCTCCAATTCTATTGCAATATAACTTGCCACCTGGCAAAACTTGAAGGGCTGGTAGTACCCGAATAGACAAAGACAAAAAGGGCGGTATGATCAATCGAATCAGAGGATCTCGTGTCGTCTGGACAAACACCAGTTACATAGAAAATATTTGTCTGAATCGGAATATTCTGGATCTAGCTCACACATCACACTTTCACAGTAGCTAGAGAGGTAGTCCCGCTGCTGCTTACGATAAATATAAAGGGGTAGTTTAGTCACTATATGAGCAGTGACGGTGTATTAATTTCTGATAAAGAAATTGAGAAATATCCCATCAATCTGATCGGTACTTTCATAAGTCACAGTTCCAACCGCCCCTACATAATAAATAATATATAATAATAAATAACAAAAGGAATATCTTTCCCTTTTTTTTTAATTTTTCTTATCCAAATTAAATGAATGAAGTGAAGATAAATTAAAACGTCAAGACAGAAAACTAGCAGCAGCCCACTCCAAATGTTGGAATTAATCAACTTGTCGAGAAACGACGGTGCATTAAAGTACGAGTAAATAACCTGTGACGGGAGTCTAGTATTGTTTGTTTTGCATTTTTGATTTTGACAGAAGATGGAAGGAATGGAAGAAGGCCACATAACCTCTGGCTCCGGTAAAGAGTGATCGAGAGAGAGAGAGAGAGAGAGAGAGAGAGAGAGGAGAAGACTACTTAGCGTAAGAGAAGCGCAAACGTCTACGTTGGCACTTGGCCGCCGACTTGCTCCATCACCACTTATCAGGCAACGTGGCAAGGATTAATGCCCATTCATAATTCATACTCGCTGAAAAATAAAAAGGATTGAAACTTTGAAATAAAGGAAGAGGGAGAGGGAGAGGGAGAGGGAGAGGGAGAGGTGCTTGAATCTTCATCTTCTTTGATTCTTTGATTCTTTCAATACATGTAGAGAGAGAGAGAGGTTATGTCGGCGAATTTTGGATTTAGTTTAAGAGGAGACAACGTGGCAGCCGACCCAGCTTGAAAGGAATGCGTGCTGCTGCCTCCTTGCCTATACCCCCATCTATATCTATTATCTATCTATCTGTCTGTCTTTTATATATTTATATGGATAGATGTGTTGACGTATAAAAGCATCCTCCTCTTCTCCATCCCTTCTTTTAGCTTTTCTCCTTCCCCCTTTGAATATTTATAATCCAGGTGTTGAGTGGCCCGATTTTGCAAGGAAAAGGCAAAACCAACACAAACCCCAGCGCTGCTGGGACTGGCAGAGATTGAGAGAGAGAGAGAGAGAGAGAGAGAACCGGAGAGAGGGTTGAGGACTCCTGTGCTGGTGTTACTAAAGATAACCGAAATATCCTCCGATTGTTGCCTTTATCAGGCGGTGGTTTCTTTTTTCCGTTTAAGTGGTGGTGGCGGTGGGGGGGCATGAGCTTTTAGAGAGATAGAAGGGAGGAGGGTTGTTTTGTTTTTGATATTCGAGATGGAAGGAGAGTATTGCTCCACAACTTCAAGCTGCTCAAGTACAGGAGGCGGAGGAACGCGAAAGGGGACACAAAAAGATAGGCCTTTTAGGGGGATAAGGATGAGGAAGTGGGGGAAGTGGGTGGCCGAGATTAGGGAACCAAACAAGCGGTCTAGGATCTGGCTCGGTTCCTACTCCACCCCTGTTGCCGCCGCTCGCGCCTACGATACGGCTGTCTTCTATCTGAGGGGTCGTTCAGCTCGCCTCAACTTCCCTGACCTCTTTGTAGCAGAAGATGAGCTTCAAGACATGTCCGCTGCTTCGATACGAAAGAAAGCTACCGAGGTTGGGGCCAAGGTGGATGCCCTTGCAACCGGCAAACAGACTTCCCCTCATCTGATCAGCTCTTGCAGTTCCAGGCCTTCCGACAAGCCCGACTTGAATCAGACACCCACTCCCGAGAGCTCAGATGACGATTGATCCATCTATACCACTTTCTCTTCTTTGTATTCAATCATAGAAGCATCTCAATCTCAACCATCGAGGTAATCCAAGTCGGTTACATCAGGATATATCGAGTTTCATGGGGTTCCAGAGAGGCAGGTATTTAGATTACCTGCGCAAGTTCGTTAGTCCTAGAATTTCTACCTTCGGAATTTTCTTTAATTTTTCCTTCTTTTTTTTTCTGTTAAAGAAATAAGAAGTTAATGAAATGGAAAGAAGTGGAAGTTGAAAACTGTTTAGAGGGCGTGTTGGGAATGTGAACAGACAGCGCCTGGGCCTATCTCAGTTGCTAATATCTAGTTTCGGTGCAGGAGGAGAACAGGTCAAAGAAAGAATTTTTTTTTTTTTATAAAACAGATAATGACTGAATTAGGTATTTTCTGGTTAGGAAGCCGTTGTGGATGATGTGATTGTGGACATGAGAGAGAGAGAGAGAGAGAATGACTGTATGGATGTGGCCCTGATTGCTGAATAAGAAGAGAAGAGATCAAGTAGTTGAACAGAACAGAATGCCGTCTCAGTCAAGGAGGGTGAGGGAGGAGGCTGGTTTTCAAAGAAAGCTAGGTGTTTGGTATTTGCATCTTTAAACAGGATGGTGGGTGGTGAGTGACGATGATGTTTTTGTGATTGTTGGTTCTGCCACTTCTCTCTGTTTTTTTTAACTCGTCTTTGTTTTCTAAATTCTAACCCGTGATAAGTCATCAAGAAAAAAGAGAGTGATAAATTCTCTTTACGGCAACCGAAAGTTAGTTCTGTTCTTTCTCCTCTATTCCTCTGGTTCTACTTCCACGCTTATTTATTTATTACTATTACGGCTATAAAACAAGACATGTGCGCGGCTGCTTTACTACTGTAGTCCAATAAAATCTTGATTGATTCTGGTCGTCTTCCATTTTATATCTCCTTTTCTTCATAATGTGGGTAAGGACGAAGAAGAAGACAACTGACAGCGCTTGCGTAGTGATCGATTCAACTATTGGTGTGTGTGTGTGGATGTGTTGACTGGTTACTTCATATTGTATTATATTACACGATAGTTGCAGTTGAGAGACCGCACCAGAATCAATCAAGATCGAGCAGGATGGTTGTTTTCGCTGTAGGAAACTAGGACCCAATGACCATTGTCGTAGTTGTTTGTAGAGCAGAAATAACTCAATAAGATGGTGACATAAACAGACGCGATGGGCTGAATCGAGGATGGGATCTATAATCCAAAGCCCACTTGCGGATTTCATTGTTCATTACAACATCCTTCTAATAGTAGAAATTCTGGTGAAGAAAATGTGCAAATGCAAGCCTCAAGTCTCAACAGCCCAACATCAGCCTATCGACCCCACATGAGCTTGGCCAATTCATCGCTATATATAGTAATACAGCGGATCAGGACACAACAATATGGCCAGGGGATCGAGGCTCGTCAGTCATCACCGGAAAACCAGCCTACCTCGGGTTAGTGGGTTAATTAATTAAATTAAGCAACCGGGCCCTAGGAATGAATCTCCTCAATATGTTATTTACTTATCCCTGAGTTTTTCTTATAATTAGTGACTATATGTTTTCCTCTAATTTTAACAACTACTAACAGCATTATATTTATTCCAACCGAAAATGGGGCTTTCTAGTTTCTAATCATATTGCTAAAAGTGAATCAACAGGAAAGTGGCAATTCCGATGCCCACACCATAGAAAAATGTGGAATCGAATTATGGTTTGCAGTCTAAACTACTTACTGTTTGTCAACCCAACAAAAAAAAAAGTTGAAAACAAGGCATAACAAATGACAATAGTCTGTCCCATTGTGTATGTTGAATATATTGATCAATTCGAAAATAAACTCGGAGCTTTTGGCTATGCATGAATGATGAAATCTAGGGCATCAGATTTGACAAGTTATTAATGAGATATTCTGAAAATTAATGCATAAATTAGAATCTTAACATAGTATCTAGCTAGTATTAGTATTTTTTTTTTTGCCGTCTTCAATAATAAATTATAGTATGAGCATGTTCTATCCTCATACCTAATAATATTAATAAGTTATATCACCACAAAATAGCGATCAGTTGGTACATTCTTGAAAAAGGTTACTTTATGCATGCTGGAATCTAGCTGGTTCCACAAGTAGATGGAGAATGAATTATTCAATCTACCCTTTGAAAAATAGGGGGTGGTACCTGGTGCGGTGGTGGTAGAGATAAAGATGGAGGACCACCGGCCACCATAGCGGCCTATGTGTCAATTGGACTGGATTTGGTCCAATCCGATTCAGTCCAATGTGAGTCCATTAAAAATGGACCTGGTCCAGTCCAGTTAAATGGATATTTTAGGCTATTTTGGACTGGTCCAGAGACTGTCCAATAAATTCTTGTTAATTTAGATTGGTTTTAACTTCCAACTCAAACCTAGCTCATTAAAACCTATGTTTTTATCTTCTATCAATAGATCAGATATTGGCTCAATTCAATATAAATTCATTATGGATGGATCAGATTCAAACCAATATGTCATATTAGTTTGTCCAGTCCATCCAAATTCAATGTCTTATTAGTCCATCCAATCCGTTCAAATCGATTTTGATTTGGACGGAATCAATCCAAAACCAGTCCAGTGACCCCCTACTCACAGAAGCAAACAAAGCCTTACCCTTGAATTTGGCAAATCTGTAGTGTAAAATTGCACTCCCATTGTACACTTTTGTAAACATCCGATGGTTTTGATGCATAAGCTCAATTTGATTTAGAAGGAATACAAATGCAAATATGTACAATATAAATATATATAAAATACAAGGTTTTGTACTCTACAAATTTACATTTGTACTGATTCATAGGCTCCATTTGGAAGAAGTATAAATACAAACACATAAAATGCAAAACCTTGTATTTTGTATGTATTTGCATTGTACATATTTGTATTTATACTCTTTCCAAATCGAGCTATAAGGAATATAGCCCCCCGAGTTGTCTGTCTAGATCGACAAAACCATGTAATTTATTATATTATAAATAGACGGTTAATTATTATCAAGATATTAGCCTAGGTATTCAAGAGGTCTTTCGATTCAATAGATAGACGCAACCAAGTGCAAACCTGAAAATGACATTATAATTTAATGAACTTGTTTTGGATTTTTAGAATCTTACATGTTGGCGTTTATGGGTGGGTGAATGCATGTTTGCCGGGTCTTCTTGTCAGGTCAAACAGCAATCCACAAAGCAAGAGCCTTTCCAACTAATCTTACCACTCCTCAGATAACCCAAAATATAAATACGAAAGGCTGTACATTTAGTACAAGTACAACTTCCCCGATTTTTCCTATAAATAATACTCAAACAAACTAATACGAGCCCAGAAGCAAGCCCACAGTTTCTAACCTTTACGAACTTCTTCAAATGTCTAAAGAATAAATTAATTCCAGTTTTTATGGATGTAAACCTAAACTACAATTGCTATTCCAATTCTGCCCCACACATACATGGTAGTGCGATACATAAACAACGGGTTTCTAGTGAGGTGTTCCATTACATTCACATGTGTACTATCGTATATTTGCACGTGTAATGGGGAATTTGTCAGTGCAGGAAAATGTAAAAAAACGGGTTTCCAGCAGATAAGAGCAATCTTTTGCAAATAATTAAAATAAGATAATTCTTTTTGAAAAATATCAAGAAAGGGCAATGACATTGTTCATTGTCTTCCTCTTCCTCTGTCATTATTTTTAATAGGTGACTGCAAGCGGCGATCTGAGACGAAGGGACGGAGCTTTGGTTATCTGAGCATCATCTCCCTCTGCCTCTGTTACCGTCTTCCTCTTCTGCAGCGGTTTATCGTCTTCCTCTTCCTCTCCCTCGAATAGCATGCAGTTGTGATGATCGTGACCGTTCTCCTTCGTGTTCCATGCAACGTCACGACCGCCTGTGCGGTTGCTGTTCCGGTCTTGAGACCGGTCACGACCGCCTATGCAATCTTCGTGTTCCGGTCACGACCAGCTGAGACTGGAACTGCAACCGCAAAAGAGAACGGTGTTGCCGTCTCTTTCAGGTAGCTACGGCAACAACATCACGACCGCCTGTGCCCTACTCCGCCTCTCACATGAACAGTGCATTCGGATGAATACAGAGGCCGAGGAAGACGACTATCATTGCCCTTCTTGATATTTTTCAAAAAAAATTGCCTTAATTTTGTTATTTTATAAAAATATTATCTTTTATTGGTATTCAAGGCTAGAAATAAAAAAAAAAGGCCATCACCCTTGAACAGCACGATAATCAAAATTTTTTGAAGGAATTATCTCCTATCATCTTGTGGGATATTTGGACAGTTAGAAACAGATGTGTTTTTGAAGAGCCTATCCCTTTTGTAACTTTGATTCATGTTAAAAGGATGATGAAGTGTGGAGATTTATTTTAAAAGGATAATGAAGTGTAGAGAGTTTCCCATCGAGAATCAACAGATTGTTCTCAATCTGAAGGTGCAGTGGGTTAAAGTTTTGGATTTGTGATGGCTCAGGTTCCTTTTTGTTGGCTAGCTGTGGCAATTGTAAATCCATTTCTGCTGGCTACTCAGAATTGCTAACTATCTTAAACTGTGTTATTTCTGAAAAAAAAAATGGGCTTATCACATTTATGCATTGAAAAGTGACTCGGTTAGCCTAATTTCAGTACTAAATCAGAGATCTTTTGACTGTTCTCCTTTGGTTTTGGTTAGTCCCTCTGTTGAAAGATGATGGAGCGATTTCAAGCCGAGATAGTTGGGAACCACCTTAATTGGAGTCTAATCTGTGTATTTGATTGTGTTTCTTTCTTTCTGTTTCGTTTGCTTTCTTTCCTGTTGTTTATTGCTGTGTTTGTTCAGCTATCTGAGTTCTTTACCAAAAAAAAAAAACTCGAACAGCACTGCACAGCCTGGCCTCAGTTACTATACATTTTATGATTTATCAGTGGACAACAAAAAAAGAATATTATATCATGAGTAAACAATACAACTCTAGTATTCTAGTATTCAAACACACAATACAATAAGACCCGTCCCAAACCAATTTGATGAGATAACTGGAAGACAAAACCGGGGAACATCTGCGGCCTACTCAGTACTCAATTAGAGAGAAAAGGCTCACATAAATGAAGATTGGGCAAATTCCCGCAATTAGATGATGCAGCGTAAAATATAGGAGCTATAACTTGGCGCGAGAATCACGACCTCTTACAATTTAGATTAGATGCCAAATGCTCTAATTAGCCCAACAAAATGCGCGAGAATCACGACCTCCAATTAACTCCATATTATGTTGAACTGAACTCGCTAATTTATGCTGTCTCGAGTTTATGCTATCTTTTCAATTTCACGCTTTATCTGAAGGGCAGCTCTGACCACGTTTCCCCTCGTAATAATCCCAACCTAAAATGTTGCCAATAGTAGTACACCCAGAGGATAAACAAGAACAATCAGAAACAACTAGCAGTAAGAAAACGAAAGAAATAAAAACAAACTGGGATGGTCTGTAGGCTACCAGCTTCCCATCACCATCAACGACCGGGAGTCTACGGTATTTTGTTACGAGCAATAACCTGAAACCATAGGTATGAGGTCAAAGATTCAGTTCTCTTTCCAATTAAGAAAGTAATTGACTTCCAACAATGGTATTATAATGCACAAAATAGTTGTGCGTAAGGGAGGAGAGAGTAACATAACGGATGTACCTGGCCGCATCTTCAAGGTTGGTGCTTTCGCGAACAACAAGGGGTGCAGGTGTCATCAAGTCACCTACTACTTTCCCATTGGTCTTGCTAAGCAACTTCTGTACTTCATTGAATGTCTGACAGTTTACCCAGAATCACAAAGTCGGAACAACTTTCACAGAAACAAATTCAAACTGAAGAACCTCCCTTGTCAGTTGGCAGAAATAAAGTGTACCACCATATCAGAAACCGAAAATGATTTTGCAAACATAGAGCCCAAGTGTGATTTAAATTTAAATCTTTCTTTTGTCTCATCATATCAGAAACAAATTTAAATTAATGCTGCATTTGTCTCATCATAAATTTGTCTCATCATAAAGTTTTCAGGCTCATTGTTTCAACTATTACTTCCACCCATCTTAAAGCAAAAAATTTGTTTCCCCTCCCTTCTAATTTGTTTTGATGAAAGTGGCAAGGAAAAGAAAGATTTCATCTTAAAAGGGAGGTTGCAATGTGAATTTCATTTGCACTGGAGCAAATGCATTGGAATGCAAATGGACCAAGTGTAAATCCTGGTTTACTTTTGCTTCAAATTTGACCTAGTTATCATTTGTTTGTAAGAAGTAAAATGATGTTACTGCTGATTTATATGAAAGAGGTTTACCAAAAAAAAGATTTATATGAAAGAGAAATGAGACGGGACGAAGGTTATTTATTCGGGGAGAGCAAGATATGAATCAAATTGATGCGGTCCCCCAATTTCTATGAGAGAGAGAATTAAGATAGTCACTGTAGCTGTTGGCTAGGAATAAACTTAACAATGCCAGCTCAAAACACCCGGGAAGCCCTATTTAGACCCAATAATATAATATTTTCATCTTCACAAGGCTGTGGATGATTACCGAATCAAATTTTTTTTTTCTTTCTTTCTTTTTTAAGAGAGGGTGGGGATTAGATAACTCAATTTGCTGCAAACCGCTAGTTTTGCTATTCAGCACTATTTTCTTTTTTATTATTTTTTATTTGTAACTTAAAATTTCATTGATTAAAAATGTATAAGCATGTACAGAAGTCAAGTAGCCCCAAGGGGTGACCAGTCACCGGACCCCATTTCAATTACTTTCCACATAAATGAGATTGTATGTTTATTAAGTATCTGCTAATATAAGTTATATAACCATGGGCTAACTCAGTTTTCATAATTTAAAGTGTTAAACATCTAAGATTTAAATTGAATGGACACAGCATTTCCAAGTCAACCTGTACCCACCTTAATTGGAGTTGAGTCTGAGTGCCTGACCAATAATTGCCTACAAACATTCAATTTCTTAAAGGATTCCTACAAAGTACTTGTATTAGACACACAAGTTTTATTCTTCTCTAAAATGTATCCCATGAACAAGGACAAGGATAGGAACAAAGGGACTCCTTTTGGGCCTCAAAGCATCATGAACAGGAAAGATCATTGGGTCAATTGAACTTCTTCACTAAGTAACAGACTCGCATGCATAATGCATATTTTTGTTGGGAGAAGTATGAAACTGCATTGACAAAGAAGCTCTAAGTAAATATAAACCCTGGTAAAGCAAAAAAGAAACCAAGGGCAGGCCAGGAACCTTTTTATGTTAATACAAAGTTCCTCATCCATCCTAAGATTTCCTTTATGCATCTCCAAAAATTAACACTTTCACCAAGGATTCCATTTTGTAGCACTCAAAATGGGCAAAAATAAAATTCCAGCTTTCCATGATTACATCAGAGCACAATATTGCTGCTATCTACTATAAGAAAGAAAAAAAGGTCATGTACACAGAATAATTGATTATTGAACGATTATTGTTAACTATAAAACAGTGGCTATTGAAAGAAAAGGCAGTTCTTACATACTTTCCAACTGCTATCAACTTCAGGAAACATGCCTGTATCAGCCCGTCCGCTACCTAATCATCAGGCAAGGACATTTAAAAAACTTTTGCACTCACCATAGTGTACAACACTTCTGTATTAAAAAAAGACTAGAATAACCTAATATCAACAAAAGCTGAAGTGCTTAACTACAAATAATTGATAACTGTGAGAAGTTAGTTACCATAATTGTTGCAATCATATATTTTGTTGCATATTTGCAGTCTTTATTAACATATTAAGACACAGGCATGCAACAAAAGATAAAATGACACACACATACACACACACACACACACACACTGATAGGTTTGTCAATAGGTCGGGTTCGGTATGGTTTTGGCTCAACCTGACCCTGAGCTGAAAGCACTCAAACCAACCCTGACTCCAATCTTGACCCCCTAAATGAACTGGGAATCTGAACCTGAGCCAACCTGCCCCACAACAGTACATTTGTACAGTTGTACTCAATCAAGGTTATATTTACAAACACTGCAATGCTACAATGCCAATGGATTGAATCAGGCAAGGGGTGGGCACAACCTGAAACTGACCCAAAACCCAAATAAGGACAACCCGACACAACCCGTTAGGATCAGTCAATGTTGATTTACTTAAACAGACCCACTGACATAGGGAGGCCAAAGTGACTAATCATCATCTCAACACATTATCAAAACTGGCTTTTGTCACAAAGTGACCAGCCATCACCTCGACACATTGGCAACACTAGATTTTGTAAGAAAAAGTAATCTATTGCAGTACTTTTGTGCATTGAGAACAAGGTGTCATGCCATAATAATTTGTGACAGAACTTAACCAAAGTAACAAGTACTTGTAAGAATTGCACTGAAAATAGAGAGACAAACAACATATGATAAAAAGCTCCCCTAGACCAACCAAAATGACTTAATCAGCTGGGTTTTTAAAGTTGTGACAAAAACCTGATACGGAATCAAGTGCTAACAAGTCATAATCAGAAACTAGACCAACCTGCAACAAAAAATACCCTCTGGTCATACATACATTGAATGATTATAATCTAACAGGTCATTAGAGTTGCACTAAAACTAGTACCAGTGACACAAAATTCAAAAAAAAAAGTAGATAAAAAAAACCAGTACCAAGTCAAATAAAGATGATGAGGACTCCTTCAAACTAGTGGAAAATGATTGATACAAGAACAAGGAAATTTAAGAAACAAAAAAAGAAAATCAGATAGGTGCAGATGCATTCCTCTTAAGAATATAACTGTATGGATGATAAAAAATTCAGAGACAACATATAGGGAGCATAGTTCTAAATATACAACAAAGTGCCACTTATGCCCTTTCCAAAGTAAATTATGAGCGGAAATCAAGGGTCCTAGCAAGGGTATAAGGGACAGGGGTCCAGCACAGGCCCTTGACATGCAGGAGAGGCCTGACCTGGCCCTCTCTTGCAAACACATCTGCTAGGATGCTTGTTTAACCCTTTGAAGAATATATTCGTTCTTAAAGTCAAAGACTCAACCTCTTTAACATAGTGAAGATTTAACTTAATGGACCTGCACCTCCACCTCTAATCTATACAATCATAAATTTGCAATTCTCATTCAACCATTAAGTGGGAGTATAGCCTAAGAAAAATTTATCCAAAGCCTTTCTAGTAGGGACATCCCATTGAAAATCCTATTTATCAAAACCCAATGTTGGCCATGCATGAAACAAAATGGAATGCTTCACCACATCACCAAATACATGCCAAACTTCCTCAAAAGCTCACCCTACATAGAAAACAATAATGGACAATGAAGGAGAAGATGGTACACTAATTTTTTGCTTTCCCCATACAGCATTTAGATTGAATCAATTTTTTGAGAAATACAATTATCATTTCTGAGTACCAACCACAAACAGGAAAAGTGAAACCTTGTGGGTGTTAGACCTCTGTTTTATCTTCGCCAATCCAATTAACCGTATTATCATTTGTAGGGAAAAGATAGATATGAAAGAAGACTTTGTCCAGATGTTAGATATCTTATTTTAAACCGGATGATGGGTTTGTCTGGAATTTGATGGTGGATAAAGAGCTTTTGGGCTGAATTTTTGGAACACTCTCGATGTTGTAAATGATAATGATTAAAATTTTCTTTTTTGTTTCCTGTGTAACCTTTTAGTTTTCTCATAGAACTTTCTTTTTTGTTTCATTAGTATAAAAAGAATTAGATTAAAATATACCATTAATATCCACCTTGTACACTCTCCTACCATTTCCCAACCACAAAGTTTCTTCTGGGCAATGATATTGCTTTTTTCGATAATTTCTGACGATATTGATAATGGTTCAGTATTTAGCTCATGGCAACTTTTAATAGCCACCTCTTTATGAACTCCGTATAGATCCAGATAGGAAAACCTAAGGGGTCTATCCCAAAAGCATCATGCCAAAATCTTATTCTCTCTATGGCTTTTTTTTTTAATTCATTGCCACCTTTTAAGTACCCTCCCATGCAGTAGTTCCCCAATAAATAAAATCTAAAGATGCAGTCCAAATGGTGCAAAAAGGGACATATAAATGTATCAAATTTGTGCAATCTCCCCCACTCTCTCTTGATATCAAGTCTCCTCACATCTCTGAATTCATTGAAGGTAAGAGACCTGTTAGAGTTAGCCGAATAAACTGCCCCTACTTAAGTATGGGACAGAGAACCTCTAATAAGACTGCCACATAAGGGTAGATTAGTCAACTCACCTTGGTTAAGTTATGAGCTTATRTKRHARYCTTATTAGAGGTTCTCTGTCCCATACTTAAGTAGGGGCAGTTTAGTCCTTGTACATTTAATTAGAAGCCTAATCACTATTAAGAGGTCGACTGATAGGGTTTAGCT